CACTGCACTCCAGTCTGGGTGACAGAGTGAGACTCCAACTCAAAAAAAGAAAAAAAAAATCCTGAAAGGTAGAGAGAAGAAAGAAAATCAATGAGGGACCTGGAGACCCAAAGACTAACACAGTGGTGAGCTCCCTGGCTAGACTTGGAGTGGAAGAAGTCAACAACCACACAATGCCAATGAGCACAGACATTGCGCTCTCTCTGTCTCTCTGTCTCTCTCTCTCTCTCTCTCTCTGACCGCAGGACCAGGAAAGGGCTAGCCCAGAAAGACACAAAGCTTTTAGTCAGCAATTGCTCTAGTCCAGCCAAACATCACAGGGCAAACTCCACCCAGGCCTGCAGAGGCTGAACTGCCACCCTCAACTCTCCACTGGATGGTGTCAGAGCAGGCCTGGTAGAGGGAAGTTAGAACTTTCACCACCGTCCGCCCTTAAGGAGGCCACCCCAGGCCATACCCCCACCCCAGGCACACAGGCCATCCAGTGGAGGCCGCAAGGGGAGGCATGCCTACCCCTCCAACCCGGGGGTGTCCGTAGATGCCTGGTACACAGAGGTGCAACTCCCCCCAAAATAAGTCTCCAGGCTCTGATGATTTCACTGGAGAGTTCTGCAAAATGTTTAAAGACGATTTCGAATTCCTGGGCTCAAACGATCCTCTTGCCTTGGCTTCCCAAAGTGCTGGTATTACAGGTATGAGCCACTGTGCCCAGCACAGTCTACCTGATTGTAAGACGTGTTAGCTACAGCCATCAATTCTGTGTGGAGTTGAGGAGGGATAGACCCATAGTACAGTGAAAAGAACAGAGAACCCAGAAATAGACCCACGCAAAATGCCCCACTGGTTTTTGACAAAAGTGCAGAAGAGCTCCATGCAGGAAAGGTAGCATTTCCAATAAATGGGGCTGGAACAGGTGGATTCATAGGCAAAGAAAGAAAGAAAAAAAGAACCTTGACCTACGTTTCTCACTTCATACAAAAATTACCTCAAAATGGGTCACCGACTTATAAAACATAAAACTATAAAACTTTTAGCAAAGAAACAAGAACAAATCTTTGCGATCTTCTAAGAACTCTTTGCAGGCTAGGCATGGTGGTGATTCACTCCTATAATCCCAGCACTTTGGGAGGCAGAGGTGAGAGGATTACCTGAGCCCACGGGTTCGAGACCAGCCTGGGCAACTTGGTGAGACCTCATCTCTACAATAAATCAAGAAAAATTAGCCAGGCGTGATGGCAGATGCTTGTAGTTCCAGCTACTTGGAAGGCTGAGGCAGAAGGATTGTCTGAGTCCAGCAGGTCAAGGCTGCAATGGCCATGAGTGTGCCACTGCCCTCCAGCCTGGGCGACAGAGTGAGACTCTGACTCAAAAAAAAAAAAAAAAGAACTCTTTGCAAATGGTTCTTAAGAGCTCATCGCCAAAAGCATGATTCATAAAAGAAAATATTGATAAATTGAACGTCGTCAAAATTCAAAACTTTTGCTCTGCAAAAGACCTGTTAAGGCAATGAAAAGGCAAGCTCAGCCTGGACAACATAGCAAGACCTTGTCTCAAAAAAAAAAAAAAAAAAAAAAAATTAGCCAGGTGTGGTGGTGCACACCTGTAGTCCCAGGTACTTGGGAGACTGGGAGGCAGGAGAATCACTTGAGCCCAGGAGGCCAAGGTTGCACTGAGCCATGATTGTGCCACTGCACTCCAGCCAAGGCGAAAGAGTGAGAACCTGACTCAAAACTAACAAGCAAAAAAAAAGACAAGCTGCAACTGGGAGGAAATATTTACAAACCACACATTCGACAAATAACGAGTATTTAGAAAATACAAAGAACTTTAAAATTCAACAGTCAAAAAAACCCAGTTTAAAAATGCTCAGGAGACATAACCAGGTCTGTTTGACGAAGGGGGATATACAGATGGTAAATAAATACATGAAGACGTTCGAGATCGTTAGGCATCAGGAAAGTGCAAATTAAACCCACCATGAGGTGGTAGCAGCCACCTATCAGAATGGCGAAAATAAAAAATAATCACAACACCAAATGCTGGTGAGTGCGCAGAAAACATGGATCCCTCATGCGTTCACACCTGTGCACACGTAAAATGGCGCAGCCACTCTGGAAAGCAGTGGGGCGATTTCTTTTCTTCTTTTTTTCCCTCTTTTAATTTTGACTTTAAAATTGTGGGGTAGCGGTTTCTTAACAATTAAGACGTGCCACCATTCTGTGACCCACACGTCGCACTGTTGTGTATGTAGCTCCCAAAATGAAAACTTATGGTCACACAAAGACCTGTCCATGAATGTTCATGGCAGCTTTATTTATTTATTTTTTTTTCTGAGTTGGAGTCTCACTCCATCGCCCAGGCTGGAGTGCGGTGACATGCTCACGGCCATCCCCGTGTCGACCTACAGGGCTCCGGCGATCCTTCCGCCTCAGCCTCCCAAGTAACCGGAACTACAGGTGTGCGCTACCGGGCCGGGCTAATTTTTTTGATTTATTGTAGAGACGAGGCCTCGCCAAGTTGCCCGGGCTGGTCTCGAACCTGCGGGCTCAAGCAAACTCCACTCGCCTCGGCCTCCCAAAGTGCTGGGAATACAGGCTGAGCCACTGAGCCCGGCCACACAGCAGCTTTTAGTTGCCCAAAACTGGAAACAACCCAGCAGATGAATGGTTAAACATGCGGGCGTACCTCGGTGCCATGGACCCAGCAAGAAAAAGGAATGCACTGTTGACATGTGCGATTAACCTGGATGAATATGCAGAGAATTATGCTGAGTGAAAAAAGGCAGTGCCCCATAGTTTTCGATGCTATGATTTCATACAGTATAGTCTTGAACTGACAGCATTATTTAAGTGGTGAACATATTTCTTTTCTTTCTTTTTTTGTGTTTGAGTCGGAGTCTCCCTCTGTCGCCCAGACTGGAGTGCAGGGGCCGCTCCCGGCCACCGCAGCCTCGACCCGCTGGACTCCGGCGATCCTTCCGCCTCAGCCTTCCCAGTAGCCGGAATTACAGGCATGCGCTACCACGCCCGGCTGATTTTTTGATTTATTGTAGAGATGAGGTCTCGCTGCCCAGGCGGGTCTCGAACCTGCGGGCTCAGGCAATCCACTCACCTCAGCCTCCCAAAGGCGTGGGATTACAGGCTGAGCCACCGAGCCCGGCTTCCTTCTTTCTTTTCTTTTTTTTTGAAAGAGGTGGGGTCTCACTATGTTGCCCAGGCTGGTCTGGAACTCCTGGCCTCAAGCGATCCTCCCATCTCAGCCTCCCAAAGTGCTGGGATTGCTGGCATGAGCCACCACATCTAACTGGTGACTGTATTTATGGTTGCCAGGGGTTACGAAGGGGATGAGGACAGGGGTGAGTAGGGGTATGACTATAAGAGTAATAGGGGCGGTCCTTGTGGTGACAGAAGTATTCTGTCTTTTTTTTTTTGAGTCAGAGTCTCTCTCTGTCACCCAGGCTGGAGTGCAGTGGCACACTCACGGTCACCCCAGCATCCACCTGCTGGGCTCTGGCGAGCCTTCCGCCTCAGCCTTCCAGGTAGCCGGAACTACAGGCATGCGCTACCACGCCTGGCTAATTTTTCTTGATTTATTGTAGAGATGAGGTCTCGCTAAGTTGCCTGGGCTGTTCTCGAACCCGTGAGCTCAGACAATACTCTCACCTGCTGGGGTTGCAGGCTTGAGCCACTGCCTGGCCAGATTATCATTTCAACTAGCCCCCTGCAGGAATTCTAATGCATACTTGAGTTTGAGACCCCACAGGGTTCAACTTTGTCTGAAATCAGGACTTTCTGGGGAGGCACAGTTCCCACGCTGAGATGTTCTCTCAAATGGCTTTCTGGAAGGGAAGAGACCCAGCGGGAACCATGCCAGCCCCGGGGCCTGCCCCCAGGGGGGGACACAGAGACCTCACCTCCCTTTGGCTCACCGAGGTGTTTGGCTCAATGAGACGGTGCTGCAGGTTCTGGGCATCCTCCCACTGCCCCGTGAGGCACAGCCGCTCCAGTTGGCACACCTGGGCTCCCAGGACGTTGGCCAGGCCACACACGCCCCCCACGGCTCCTGTGCGGGGGAGGAGACAAAGCATCAGGAAGAGCATCTTTGGGGGTGGGGGGGAACCCCATCCCGGTCCCAGTGCCGCCTCAGCCTGGGGACATGAGACGTGGGTTCTGTGCCACGGGTCGGCCACGGCAAAGGCGCACACGCTCTGGGAGCCCTGAGTCCACATTTCCCAAAAAGCGGCCTGCATCTTCCAAACAGAATCCTGCCAGCAGAATGCTGCTCAAGCCAATCCCTGCAGGGCGGGGAGCAGAGCCGAGCCTGAGAGGGACCTCAAGGACAGGTCCTTCTCACACTCTCCCGGGTTACAGTCCCACCTGCCAGCTGTCACCTCGAGCATTCCTCCAGTAGACCCCTGACTCATCGGGGCCGGGGCCGGTGTGGCAGATGGGAACCCTTGGTTCTTCTGAAATCTGCCCCCCTGCCCCAGTGAATTCATGTGACCGGGCATTTCTTCCCATTGGCTGCATCAACTTGGCCAAGAGCCTCCTGAGTCCTCTGCGTGCTCATCTGGACAAGGAGAGGGGACTGGCTGTGATCTCAGAAGGCCGGCCGCCTCTGCCAGCCTGTGTGTGTGATTCTGAGGCTGGGTGGGCATGCCCCCAAGCACTCTGGACTCAAGACTGGAGAGAGAGGAGGCCGCTTGGGACAAGCTGTGGTTTTTTGGGGGTTTTTTTTGAGTTGGAGTCTCACTCTGTCGCCCAGACTGGAGTGCAGTGGCCGCTCTCGGCCACCACAGCCTTGACCTGCCAGGCTCCGGCAATCCTTCCGCCTCAGCCTTCCAAGTAGCTGGAACTACAGGCGTGTGCTACCATGCCTGGCTAATTTTTGATTTATTGTAGAGATGAGGTCTTGCCAAGTTGCCAGGGCTGGTATCAAACCCGCGGACTCAGGCAATCCACTCTCCTCGGCCTCCCTAAGTGCTGGGATTACTGGCTGAGCCACTGAGCCTGGCTGGATCTGAACTTTGACAGGCATCCTGTCTTAAGTTCTTCTTGGCTTATCCAGCCTAGAACTGAAGTGCATGGCTTGACTACAGGATGGATTGTTTGAAGACAGAACCCTCCCAGACAATCTAGGCCCTTCCAGCTTCTTCTCTGCTCCTCTGTGATTCTGTCTTTGGGAGGCTGAACCAGGAGGACCTTCTCCCCCTCCACAGCAGAGACCATGGCATGCAAAGACCCGCTACAAGCCAGAGTCTGCAGAGACCAGGGGGACTAGGAACCGTGCTGTCCCCTGCAATGCTAGGAAAATCACTCAAATCTGTACTCGGGGGGCTTCGGCTTCAGGGAACAGAAGCTTTCCTCCTTTCCCCTCCCCTCCAGGGCTCAAATCCCATCTGAACCCAAGGACCTTGACCCCAACAGGCAAGAGCAGTTGACCTAGGTGGCATTCCTTGGATCCTGGACTGGAACGGAATTTGATCGGGCAGCTGAAGCTCCGTGGACCAGCCCTGCAGGTTTGACGTCCATTCTGGCCTGGGACCAGGAAAGTGGCCTCCTGGACTAGGGGGGAGGACCCAAGGCCTCTGCCCGCAGAGAATGATTTACACGGTGAGATTAGAGGAGCTAAATTTGTCATCTAAGCATGGATCGCAGGACCCAGAACAAACGGCCGGCATCGCTGCCACACAGTACGGACCGGGGTTGGATGCGGCCACCTTCCTCCACTCAGCAAGGTCACTGTGAGCATCTAGCATTCAGACAGGCACGTGGTGTGGCCAGGTTTTGAAGGCTCCAGGACAGGCGGGCTGGCCAATAGCCTTCTGCAGACCCAGACCTGGCCCTTGTGGTCTCTCCCTGCAGACCCCGCTGGCTGGGGGCCTTGTGGCCACCCACACCAGCTTGAGAGCAGCGGGCGACCTACCCACAGCGTAGCTGGCTAGCAGGAAGCCGGCCGACCCAGCCAGCACCTGGAAATCTTGCCTCCTGGTTTTGTGAACAATCAGGCCGATCCTGGTCACCTGCAATAGCAAACGTGGTGTGAGTGCCGCGCGTGAGCCCGGCTGCCAGCCTGGAGGAGGCGGGGCAGGTGTCGTAGAATGAGAGCCCCATGCCCTGAAGTCCAGACAAAGCCCCAGAGAGCCCACGTGACAGAGAGAACCCGGGCGGGGACCCGGGACTCAGGCGGGTCCCCGAGCTGCCCTGGAGTTTGTGGCTGAAGCACCAGGGCCCAGAGAAAGAGGGGGCGCCCCAGCCTGGGAGCCGCTGCCACTCACGTCCCCACCGCTGTCCTTCATGCCCACGATGTTCGGGTGCTGGGAGAGCGTGACCACCGCGTCCACCGGCAGGTCCAGCCCCGTGTTGGCTGGGACACTGTACAGCACCACAGGGATTGGAGAGAGGTCAGCCACCTGAGGGCGCAGAGAAGAGGGGCAGAGGGTAGCCGCCCTGGGTCCTGGGGGTGGGGGAAGCTTGGCCACCCACAGGGCCTGCCTGCACCCCTGCGGGGCTTCCTGGATGGGCCTGTCTCCTACTCATACTCGTGTGCCACCGGGCTACCTTGTGTACTGTAAGCAACAGTCGTGGGTAACACTTAGAAGGCGTTCTTTCTTGTTTTCTTTCTTTCTTTTTTTTGAGTTGGAGTCTCACTCTGTTGCCCAGGCTGGAGTGCAGTGACACGCTCACGGCCACCCCAGCCTCGACCTGCTCGGCTCCAGTGATCCTTCCACCTCAGCCTTCCGAGTAACCGGAACTACAGGCACGCACTACTATGCCCGGCTTATTATTTTTCATTTATTGTAGAGACGAGGTCTCGCCAAGTTGCCCGGGCTGGTCTCGAACCCACGGGCTCAGGCCATCCACTCACCTCGGCCTCCCAAAGTGCTGGGATGACAGGTTAAGTCACCGAGCCTGGCGTTTTCTTTCTTTTTTTAGAGACAGGGTCTCACTCCATTGCCCAGGCTGGAGTGCAGTAGTGCGATCATAGCTCACTGCAGTTTGGACTTCCTGGGCTCAAGCAATCCTCCTGCCTCAGCCTCTTGAGATTAAACTGGGATTACAGGCACGCCACCATGTCCAGTTAATTTCTCTTTTTTTGGTAGAGATGGGGTCTTACTATGATGCCCAGGCTGGCCTTGGACTCCTGGGCTCAAGCGATCTTCCTGCCTGGGCCTCCCAAAGTGCTGGGATTATAGGCCTGAGCCACCACACCCAACCTATGCAGTGATTTTTTTTTTTTTTTTTGAGTTGGAGTCTCACTCTTTTTTGCCCAGGCTGGAGTGCAGTGGCACGCTCCTGGCCACTGCAGCCTTGACCTGCTGGGCTCAGGCAATCCTTCTGCCTCAGCCTTCCAAGCAGCTGGAACTACAGACGCAGCCGCCACGCCCAGCTAGTTTTTGTGATTTTTTTGTAGAGGCGAGGTCTCAGCAAGTTGCCCAGACTGGTCTCGAACCCCCGGGCTCAGGCAATCCTCTCGCCTCGGCCTCCCAAAGTGCTGGAATGACAGGCTGAGCCACTGCGCCTGGCCAATAGTGCTTTCTATCTGCCAGGCACTGTTCTAAGCGCTTTATGCTCCTGGTCTCCTTTAATGCTCATGACAGCCCTGTGAGATAGATGCCATTAGCCTCCCATTTTAGTGGGAGGGAACGGTGACATGGAGGGTTAGGCAAGCCACCCCGTGTCAGCAGCTGGGATGTGGTGGCGTGCCACCTGCTTCCCGTCCCTGCCATCCCCGCTTTCCTGGTCTCTGCCCCGCAGAGCCTCCACCCCGTCCAGCCTCCCTCAGTCCCAGGCTTCACACCCACCTTGGTGTAGTGGTGGATGAGGGCCGCACTGCTCATACGGCCTCTATAGAAGCAGGGGGTCACCACCATGGCGGCATCAGCCCCGACCTGGGCCATGCTGACCGTCATCTCCACCGTGGCTTGAGTGGCTGCGAAGGAAGGCGAGAGGTGAGAGCAAACAGGAGGAGACGGGCTGGGCCACGGGGCCACGCCAGGGTGCCCCTGCATGTCCCAGGAGAGGCACCACAAGGAGATGGACCCCGGATCAGGGGCCTGGACCCCCACACCCAGCCGCCCCCAGGGTCCTGGGCGTCCTGGCCTCACACTCGCAGCCGGAGCCCGCAAGGAGGAGCTTGTCCTTGGGCATGGCCTGGCGCGCACGGCTCACCACCTCCAGGCGCTCGCTGCTGGTCAGGAAGGGGAACTCGCCGGTGGAGCCCTGGACCACGAAACCTATAAGAGAGGGTCTGTCACAGCCGGCCACGCCTTCCCCGTCTCTTCCAGCAGTCAGGACGTGGGGGCTCCCGCCGCCCAGCACCGCCATCTCCCACTTCCCCTGTCTCTTTCACCTGACACAGGCAGGTGTCCAGTGACAGCGTGCATATCACTTTTCTTTCTTTTTTTTTGAGTTGGAGTCTCACTCGGTCACCCAGGGCTGGAGTGCGGTGGGCTCAGGCGATCCTTCCGCCTCAACCTTTCAACTAGCTGGAACTACAGGCATGCGCCACCACGCCCGGCTAATTTTTTGATTTATTTTAGAGACAAGGTCTTGCCAAATTACCCAGGCTGGTCTTGAACCCCTGGGCTCAGGCAATCCTCTCGCCTCGGCCTCCCAAAATGCTGGGATGATAGACTTGAACCTCCGTACCCGGCCACTTTTCTTTAAAAAAATTTTTTTTTGTTTTGTATACAGACAGGGTCTTGCTTTGCCCAGGCTGGTCTCAAACTCCTGGCCTCAATTGATCCTCCCAGCTCAGCCCCCCAAAGAACTAGGATTACAGGTGGGAGCCACCACCCTCAGCCATTTTTCTTTGCTTTAATGAAACGTTTGAGTCTTAGACTCAACAGACCATAATATAATTCCCATCCATGTAACCAGAGCAAGCCTCCCCGATCACCTTCCTCTCCCTCACTCTGTCCTCACCCAGGTTTACTGTCCCATGGTTGTCATTAAACACTTGAGACATCCATAGGGACCCATGAACAACATCCAATACTGTTTGATACTTGTAGGCTTTCCAGAAGTGGATGCTAGCTTATATCACCTCCCGCAGAAGCTGGTTTTGTTTAACATCACGTTTTGAGCTTTGACAGTAGAAACACACATAGCTCTGATTCCATCATTTTCATTGCTGTATAGTATTCCACTGTCAGGGTTAGACCACAGTTTATCTCTAGTCTCTTGCCAAGAGCATTTGGAATGTTCTTTTCATTCACTATGCCAGACAATGCTGCCACAAACAGTTTCTGTGTTCCCCTGTGCAAAAGTCAGAGAGTTCCTTCCGAGTTTAGACGCTTGGGTGTACAGTTACCAAGTCATGTCTATGTGCTTGTTGATGTGTGACACATTTCCGACCAATCAGTGCACACCCCACGAGCAGCAGAGAGGTATCTGGGTTTTTTGTTGTTGTTTTGAGTCAGAGTGTCACTCTGTCACCCAGGCTGGAGTGCAGTGGCACACTCCAGTCACCACAGCCTTGACCTGCTGAGCTCAGGCAATCCCTCCACCTCAGCCTTCCAAGTAGCTGGAACTACAGGTGTGTGCCACCTCACCTGGCTAATTTTTTGATTTATTGTAGAGACGAGGTCTCACCAAGTTGCCCAGGCTGGTCTCAAACCCCTAGGCTCAGGCAATCCTCTCGACTCTGCCTCCCAAAGTGCTGGGATTACAGGCATGAGCCACCACACTAGGCTGACATCTGTTAGTGTCTACTCATGCCAAGTCTTGGTATTGTCAGAACGAATTTTTGTCAATTCTCTGGGTAAAGAGTGCTATCTCATGGTTTTATTTTGCATTTTCCTGTTTCATTAAGCATTTACTTGAAAGCATTCTTTTTTTTTTTCCAGACAGTGTCTCTCTCTGTTTCCCAAGCTGGGGTGCAGTGGTGGATCATAGATCACGGCAGCCTCGAATTCCTGGGCTCAAGCAATCCTCCCACCTCAGTCACTCAAGTAATGGAGATTACAGGCGTGTTCCACCATAGCCAGCTAACTTTTTGGATTTTTTTGCAGAGATGAGGTCTTGCTATGTTGCTCAGACTGGTCTCTAACTCCCAGCCTCAAGAGATCCTCCCATCTCAACCTCCCAGGGCATTAGGATTGCAAGTGTGAGCCACAGCCCCTGGCCTTCAGAGGTTTCTTAACCAGTATCCTGTAACCTGAACCAGTTATGGTTGTCACCCCCAGCAGAGTTTGTTTTCTTGAGATGAGTATAAGGGGACTGTCATTAGAATCATTTTCCTCTCAAGTATTTTCATTTCACTTCCTCTTTCGTCTTTTCTCCATCCCATTCCTCTAAAAAAAAAAAAAAAAAAAAAAAACTGAAGAAGTTTACAAACACAGCACACAATATGACAGGATTATTAATGAATGGAAGGATAGTTGGGACAAAGGAAAGAAAACAAAGCTGGGAGCCCTGCTGATTGACAAACCTCTGCCATCCAGCCATGGGAACTGGGCCAGACACTGGATTTGAGCTTCCCGACTGTCAGAGCTAAAAGGGAAACACGGTCAGCCAACAGGTATGTAGAACCAGCCCGAGGGATGAAAGCAAAGCACCGCCCTGGAGAAACAGACGTTCCTGGCACTGGGACCAAGAGATGCTGTTCCCGTGAGTCATCCTTCAGGGGACACTGTGTGATACAGACTCGACCCCACACCACCACCCTTTGTCCATGCTGTTCGCAACCCTGCTGGATTCCACCGCGTGGGTGGCCAGGAGAGCTCACTGGATACGTGGCTTTTCTTTCGAGTTTTTTACCTTGGGAAACATCTTGAGGCCAATGGCTTTTGGCTTCTGCTGGCAGGCCTCCGGAGGGCTGATCCCTCTGTCCTACTGGGAGCCTCCTGGGTCTCCCCACATAAGGTCCTGGTGCTTTCCTGGGGGTCGGACCCATCCTTGGAAGTCGCCAGTCCTGGATGAAGATGCTGATCTAGCCACAGCTGGACCACCCTCCTTTTTTCTAATTTTTTGTTTTTGTTTTTTTTGAGTTGGAGTCTCACTCTGTTGCCCAGACTGGAGTACAGTGGCCGCTCCCGGCCACCGCAGCCTCGACCTGCTGGGCTCCGGCGATCCTTCGCCTCAGCCTTCCAAGTAGCTGGAACTACAGGCGCGCGCTACCATACCCGGTTAATTTTTTTGATTTATTGTAGAGATGAGGTCTCGCCAAGTTGCCCAGGCGGGTCTTGAACCCACGGGCTCAGGCAATCCACTTACCTCAGCCTCCCAAAGGCGTGGGATTATAGGCTGAGCCACCGAGCCCGGCTCTATTTCTTTCTTTTTTTTTTTTTTATAGTGATGGGGGTCTCACTTTATTGCCCAGGTCTCAAACTCCTGGTCTCAAGTGATCTTCCTAGCTCCCGGCTCTATTTCTTTTCTTTTCTTTCTTTTTTTTTTGAGTCGGAGTCTCCCTCTGTCACCCAGACTGGAGTGCATTGGCCGCTCCCAGCCACCGCAGCCTCAGCCTGCTGGGCTCCGGCGATCCTTCTGCCTCAGCCTTCCAAGTAGCCGGAACTACAGGCGCGCGCTACCATGCCCGGCTAATGTTTTATTTATTGTAGAGATGAGGTCTCGCCAAGTTGTCCAGGTGGGTCTCGAACTCACGAGCTTAGGCAATCCACTCACCTCAGCCTCCCAAGGCGTGGGATTACAGGCTGAGTCACCGAGCCCGGCTTCTATTTCCTTTTCTATGGGATGCCAATCCTACCTTATAGGGCAGTTTTAAAGGCTCAGATAAGGAAATGTCCCAGAAAGCACTTTGAACTCTGACCCGTGGCCCACAGAGCCCTCCTCCGCTCTGGCTAGACGTCCAGCGGCGGGCCTGACACATCCCACTGGTGTAGAGAGAGAAAAAGGCCAGGGTCCCCAAGGGACTGGGAGTGCGGCGAGGGAGTGGCACAGAGCAGGGGGCGTGCAGCCGGGATCAGATGCACAGGCTCTGAGATGAGAGGAGAGGAGCCCGGCTCACTCTCGGTGCGGCCCCTCACCAGCTGGGAGATCTTGATGGCTTCGCCAAGCCTCGGCGTCCACAGCCGGAACATGGGCATGATGTCGGTACCGTCCTCAAGCAGTTGAAGTGGAAACGACACACTATTTGCAACATGCTTAGAACAGGACGTGATGCTCAGGGTGGGTTTGCTGTCATCCTTACAGAGGCGGGGGAACGTGCCCGGTCCTTAGTCAGGAGGGTTGCTGGTGGCGGAGGGGAGACTGGCCTCCATGATCTCACAGGCCCCTTCCAGCTGTAGACCAGGGAGGCTACTCCTCCAGGCCCTGTGGCTTCTCTGGGGAACTGGGGTGGCTTGGGGGAGGACCGGGTGTTTGGAACTGGGAAGGCACATGCAACGTGGTGACTCCTGGGGCCATAAGGAATCACATGATGTCCCAGTCGCTGCCATGTCCTCTTTGTCCATTATCATCGCCGCCGCCTCTGAGAAGTCTTCCTGGAACCCCTCCACTCACACTCCTCACATGCACAGAGCTCCTAGAATCCTTCAAGCCCTCATCCTCAGCCATGGGATTAAGCAACATTTCTCCATCTGGCCTCTCCTATAAAGTGAGAAATTGAGCTGGGCATGGTGGCTCATGCCTGTAATCCCAGCACTTTGGAAGGACAAGGCAGGAGGATCGCTTGAGCCCAGGACTTCGAGACCAGCCTGGGCAACTTAGTGAGATCTTTTCTCTTCCAGAAGAAAACAGTAATAAAAAATAAAGTGAGCAATTAGATGAGAGGGTCTCTGAGGTTCTCCTGGTTCTACAGTCCAGACCTCTTTTATGGCTTTTTCTCTTCTGTGCCTGTCTCTGTTCTCCTTCACACTGACTGGTTTCTCCCAGAAGCACCACCACCTTTGTCCGCACTGGTCCCTCTGCCCGACGCCTCTCACGTCAATTCCCCTTCCCCTTGGGCGGCTTGAGTTGCCTTACCTAGTGCTCCTCTCACTTCATCTGGAATCATCCAGGTCAGGAATGGCGCCCCACGCATCATGGCCTCCCCCATGGAGCCTAGCGTACGAGGTGAAGGCGTGTGTTGACAATTTGAGGTGCAAGAGAAGCCTGGTGCCTGCCTGTAATCCCAGCTACTTGAGATGTTGAGGCCCGGAAGACGGCTGAGGCCAGGAGTTCGAGGCTGCAGTGAGCTATGAATGTGTCCCTGTACTCTAGTCTGGGCAATAGAGTGAAGCACTTCCTCTAAAAATTAAAAAAAAAAAAAAAGTTGGACTCAGTGGCTCAGTCTGTAATCCCGTGCTTTGGGAGACTGAGGTAAATGGATTGCCTGAGCCCGTGAGTTCGAGACCCGCCTGGGCAACTTGGCGAGACCTCATCTCTACAATAAATCAAAAAATTAACCAGGCGTGGTAGCGCACGCCTGTAGTTCCGGCTACTTGGAAGGCTGAGGCGGAAGGATCGCCAGAGCCCAGCAGGTCGAGGCTGCAGTGACCAGGAGCGGCCACTGCACTCCAGTCTGGGTGACAGAGAGAGACTCCAACGTAAAACAAAAAAACAAAACAGAACAACAAAAAAAAAAACAAAAAAGAAACCAGGTGTGGTGGCTCACACCTGTAATTCCAGCACTTTGGGAGGTTGAGATGGGATGATTACTTGAGCCCAGGAGGTTGAGGCTGCAGCAAGCTTTGATCACACCACTGTACTCCAGCATGGGTGATAGAGTAAGGCTGCTTCTCTAAAAATTAAAGTAAAATAAAAAAATTCTCCCAAAACTTATCGGGGCAGAACTTTTTTTTTAAGTCGGAGTTTCACTCTGTCACCCAGGGTGGAGCACAGTGGCACGCTTATGACTGCCACAGTCTCAACCTGCTGAGTTCAGGTGATCCTTCCACCTCAGCCTTCCAAGTAGCTGGAACCACAGGCATGTGCTACCATGCCCGGCTAATTTTTCGATTTATTGTAGAGACAAGGTTTTGCCAAGTTGCCCAGGCTGGTCTTAAGTCCTGTACTCGGGCGATCCTCTTGCCTCAGCCTCCCAAAGTACTGGGATTACAGGGGTGAGCCACTGTACCCGGAAAAACTTTTTTGCATGATGTGATTCAAAACCCCTTTCTGGGAAGAAATGAGCATTCCTGATAAAACCTGAAGCAATTTCCTGACGCGCTTTAATGGAATGAAGTCTTGATCTGGAAAAGCAGCCACCCTCCCAGCTGATGCTCTGGCAAGAGTCCAGTGAGCACCTGTTACCTGCTCTTTGTGTTTAGTCTAATGGGGATCTGGACACTCTCTTTCCTAATGAAAGTGTCCTTACCCAGAGGGCACAGTTGGCTTGGCTGCCTGGATGCCATGTTGCTTGGAGCAGGAATAAAACTTTGACCTGCACTCCTAACCAAACTGAAAACTTTTCACTTTTCATTTTGAATTTCTTCTAGTCTTACAGAAAAGCTGCAAAAATGCTACCCCTATCTTTCTTTCTTTCTTTCTTTCTTTCTTTCTTTCTTTCTTTCTTTCTTTCTTTCTTTCTTTCTTTCTTTCTTTCAAGTTGGAGTCTCACTCTGTCACTCGGCTGAAGTGCAGTGGCACGCATGCTCACAGCTACCCCAGCGTTGACACGCTACCACGCCCAGCTAATTTTTTGATTTATTGTGGAGACGAGGTCTCGCCAAGTTGCCCAGGCTGGTCTCGACCCCTTGGGCTCAGGCAATCCTCTCATCTCGGCCTCCCAAAGTGCTGGGATTACAGGCTTGAGCCATCATACCCAGCCGTCCGCTATGTTTCTAAACATCCCTCACCTGGCCTCTACCAATGAAAATGTCTCGCATACCTACAATATGATGGTCAGGAGCAGAGAATTAACATAGGTATGATGCCACTAACTAAAGACTTTATTTGGATTTTGTTAGTTTAAAACTATTTATTTTGCTCTGTTCCCAGGCTGGTGTGCAATCATCGCTTACTGGAGCCTCCAACTCCTGGAGTGAAATGATCCTCCCCCCTCAGCCTCCTGAGTAGATGGCACTACAGGTGCGTGCTATCACACCTGGCTAATTTTTTGTGGAGTCGAGGCCTTGCTACGTTGCCCAGGCTGGTCTCAAATGATTCTCCCTGCTCAGCCTCCCAAAGCTCTGGGATTGTAGATGTGAACGACCACACCTGGCTGATCATTTTTTAAAAGTTAGGATTCCAAAGTCATAACTGGCTAATGTGAAATTTTGTGTCATATGTTTTTAGTAAGAGGTTTAAGGTCTTCCAGATATGTGCATGCATTTGAATAATCGTTTTCAGAAGCCAAACCTCACCTCTCTCTTGCTTTTTGTCTGACTTAGCAGCCTCCAAAATTATCCAGTGCAATCGACCACATTCTTTTCCAATTAAGATTTCTATTTATTTATTTATTTATTTAATTTCTTTTTTTTGAGTTGGAGTCTCACTCTGTCACCCAGACTGGAGTGCAGTGGGCTCCCGGCCACTGCAGCCTCAACTTGCTGGGCTCCGGCGATCCTTCTGCCTCAGCCTTCCAAGTAGCCGGAACCACAGGCGCGCACTACCATGCCCAGCTAATTTTTTTGATTTATTTTAGAGATGAGGTCTCGCCAAGTTGCCCAGGCGGGTCTTGAACCCGCAGGCTCAGGCAATTCACTCACCTCGGCCTCCCAAAGCACGGGATTACAGGCTGAGCCACCAAGCCCAGTCTCCAATTGAGATTTCTATGATAAAATATATGTTTTTTGAAAGCAGGATTTATTGAGAGGACAGAAAAGCTCCCACAATGGGAGGGAACCTGAGGGGGTTGCCCATATTTTAATATTTCAGATATACCAGCCAGGCTCTGTGGGTCAGCCTGTAATCCCAGCACTTTGGAAGGCCGAGGCGAGTGGATTGCCTGAGCCCATGAGTTTGAGACCTGCCTGGGCAACTTGGTGAGACCTCGTTTCTACAATAAATAAATAAGTAGCCAGGCATGGTAGCGAGCACCTATAGTTCCGCCTATTTGGAAGACTGAGGCAGTAGGATCGCCGGAACCCAGCAGGTTGATGCTGGGGTGGCCACCACACTCCAGCCTGGGTGATGGAGACTCCAAGTCCAAAAATATACTCTGTGCTCCGTTAAATCAACTGTCAACATTAGGATGATTATGGACTTATCTGTCCTTTGCAGTGATTCTAGGCCCCTGGGTTTGAGGCCCACAGGGCGGGGACCACTGGCAAATCCAAAACAAACCCAAAGAAGTGTCTATGTCAGAGAGTTCCTGGTAGCTGGCTTCTCTAAAGTTCCACAGATGCCTTCCCTTCAGTTGGCTGGCTGGAGCGTGGGGTCACCGCTTGCCCCAGAAAAGGCTTCTTGGGACCCAGGAGGAGGAGGCAGGGAGAGTCTCAGGCTGGCAGGAGGGCAGAGAAAATGTCAGGATACGAGGGACAAGGTCAAAAGCCATCTGGGAAGGGTGGGGAGAGGAGGCCGCACAGGCAGGGATTAAAGGTATGAACTTGGAAGTCAGGCAGAGCTGGGATCCGGTCCCAGCAACATCCCTTCCTGTCTGTGTCATTTCAGGTGAATCATGTCTCAACCTCAGACGCCGCCTTTGCAAAATTCAAGTAATACAATACCTTCCTCATGGGGCTATGCCTTAACCCAGAGCATGGCATATGCCAACAACACATTTCAAAAACCCTCAAAAAAGAGGAAGCTACCGGGTGCAGTGGCTCGTGCCTGTAATCCCAGCACTTTGGGGAGCCTGAGGCTGGAGGATCGCTTGAGCCCAGGAGCTTGAGACCAGCCTGGGCAACATAGCGAGACCTCGTCTCTACACAGATACCAAAAAATTAACCAGGCATGGTGGTGTGTACCTGTAGTCCCAGCTCCTTGGGAGGCTGAGGTGGAAGGATCGGCTGAGTCCAGGAGGCGGAGACTGCGGTGAGCCATGATCGTGCCATCGCACTCCAGCCTGGGCAAGACAGAGTGAGACCCCCAGCTCCAAGAAGCTGCTGCTAGGCATATTAGTAACACGAGCAGCAGCAGCGGCAGCCGCAGTGCCGGCTCAAGTGATGGTGACATAAACAAGAGAGTGTTACACCGGCGCGGTGGCCGTGGACCTGCGTCGTGGAGTCAGGGGCCCCGGGAAGCAGGCGGGACAGGAAGACAGCCTGCGGTGTGGGGTGCTAGCAGCCAGAGAAGGAGGGTGAGGATGGCCCCAAGAACACCAGGTCGAGTCCCGCCCAGCTAACTCATTCATTTCTGAAAGCCTTTCTTTCCCCGGCCCCCAACACCTGGCCGCTTCCCCTTCCCTGGCGACAGCAGGTTGAGGGGTGTCGAGACACCTCAACCCCAGAGGTATGCCCTCCCCAGAGCTTGAGGCTGGGGAAGCTGTCTCCTGGAGTCTCAAATCAGGTCCCATGACAAAGCCCCCGGCCACCGCCCACACGCGGAGGACTGCTGCAGAGGGAACCCGGTTCCTGTCCAGACCTCAGGCTGGCCACAGAGCCCCAGGACTCGGAGTGAGGGTCTACAGGGCTTTATTGGCTGCATTCCAGGCACTCGGCATCAGCGTGGGGCCTGCAGCGGCTCCTTGGATCTGCCTCGACCGTCTGCTCTCGCTGGGTCTTCAGGATCCGCGGGGTCTGTCTACGCTGCTGTGTTTCCTCCCGGCTCTCCCTCATCACGGGCCCTCCTCTGCGGCAGACCCCGCTCGTGGAGTCCACTGGGCCTGTGATCCCCGAGGAAGAAGGGATTTGGGTGGCAGTGTCTCCCCCTGGGCCACGAGGGTTGTCCCAGAGGAGAGAAAACAGACCCACGTGTAGGGGCCGGCCCTGTTGGGGGAAGGGGTGTCTCCATCCATGGTTAGGTGGCTTCAAACGGGCCTCATATCTAGTGGCTGCGGTCGGGCAGGCTGTGGCTTTGGTGGCTTGGGTGGCTTGGGTGGCCGTGGCCATGGAAAGTGTGCGTGTGGTTGGCGCCAGCCGTGGTGTTCTCCCGCTGGATGAGGAAGTTCTTTTTCAGCCTCATCTCGACTTCCTCGAGGGCCTTCAGCTCTTCCTGGTTGATGTCCTTGGCCTCCAGGTGGCCCGTGTGCTGGTAGGCCGTGGCCCGCTGCAGCATGGAGTTGGCCAGCTTCCGGCCCTTGCTGTCGATCTCCTGGGTGCAGGCAGCCACGGCGGCCCACGTGGCCTCGTCCGTGGACGAGGATTTTCCAGACTCTGTGTGGGTCTCTTTGACCACCGAGGACCCAGCCGTCCTCTGCCGGCTGGTGAAGGACTCCCGGCGCAGGGCGGGGCCCGCCTCTCCGTGCCTCGTGGTGAGGGTCTCCATGTGCACGGTGGTGCTGGCCTCGCCCCTCCCGCTCTCGGGCGGGGGCGCCTGGCTGCTGGCGCCGGTGGGGTGGTGGGCGGCCAGGTTCTCTTCGGAAAAGCTGCTGAAGTGAGACTTGATCCAGCTCTCGTCTGCTGACCTGTGGGCGTCTGGGTCCTCAGGGCTGGCCTTCCTCCTCCTCTTCCTCTGAATCCACAGCATGAGGCCTCCGCCTCCCAGTAAGAGGAGGGTCCCCAGAACCACCTTGCATGATGGTTGCTGGATGAACTCCAAGAAGGTCTCCAGGACCCCACGTCGGGCAGGCAGAGCTAAGAGCACACTGGGCGTGGGGGAGCCCGGGTGGTGTGGCACATGCTGGAAAGGGCAGACTCCCCAGGGATGGGTGGCAGGCAGCCTTGACCTCCTGGGCCCAGGCACCCCTCCCGCCTCAGCAGCGGGGCCATTGTGAGGAAGACAGTGGGGGGTGGGGCGGGCGAGGCCCCGGTATCCCCCATGTCTGGCCTGGCAGGCGTTGCCTGCGGCCTGGTTCCTGTCTCCCACCCTCACAGCTGTCCTCACGGTCAGTGAAGAAGAAGCTTCCCCCGTTCTGGGTCCCCTTTGCCTTCTGCTTGTGACCCATTCTGCAGCTCAGTGCTTCTCTGCCAGTCTTTGGTTTCTGTCTCTCCACATAGAGTGGTCTCCGGTGGGCAGAGAATGCTGGGTCAGGCTGGCCATGGCAGAAGGACCCCTGCGGCTGGGCTGGCACCCACTCCTGGCCACCATCCAGGGCCCATGTCCAGCTCCATGCGGTCCATACCCACTTGCAGACCCCAGTCCCCCCACAGGGCAGAGTCGGAAGAGAAAGGTCCCAGGAAGGAGCTTGTTCTGGAATAGCATGAGGTCACAATCAGGCAGATGAGTAGGGGGCTGCAGAGAACAAGGGATGTCACCAGGGCCACCTCCCCAGGGCCCTTCCAGACAGAGCCTGCTACCTCTTGCCTTAGGGGTGTACCTGCAAACCCAGAACTACCCTGGTAAATGGGCATGCTTTAGGCTGTGAGCAGGGGCAGGGGGGTGGAGGAAGCTGGCAGACTTGCCAGAGGCGCAGACAACTGAGAGCCTGAATGATACCCAGGGACTCTCAGGATCGTCAATGTGCCCCCCTCCAAGTCATCTAGCACATTACAAAAATAAAGACATGCCACTGATAGGGTTGTAAAATTTGTGATATTTGAAACTAAATATTGGCCGGGCACGGTGGTTCCTGCCTATAATACCAGTACTCTGAGAGGTGGAGGCGGGAAGACTGCTCGAGCCCAGGAGTTCTGAGACCAGCCTGGGCAACGTAGCAAGACCTCACCTTTACAAAAAAAATTTTAAAAACTAGCCGGGTGTGGTGGCACACACTGGTAGTCTCAGCTACTTGGGAGACTGAGGCAGAAGGATTGCCTGAGCTCAGGAGGTCAAGGTTGCAGTGAGCTATAATCGTGCCACTGCACTCCAGCCTGGGACACAAACTTCACAGGGAACCTTATCTTCCCCGTCCTGCTGGGGTACGTGTGTGTTGTTCACAATCCTCATCTGGAAATAACAATTCAAGGGCCATCTTTGAGGGTATTTGTGGGAATGAGTTCGGGTCCTGGGGTCCTTCTGCAACTATCCCACCCTCCAGTCTCTGGTAATAATTTTTTTTTGGGAGGGTCTCCCAGGCTGGAGTGCGGTGGCACAATCATGGCTCACTGTAGCCTCAGCCTCCTGGGCTCAGGCAATCCTTCTGCTTCAGCCTCCCAAGTAACTGGAACTACCGGCACATGTCACCACGCCTGGCTAATTTTTTTCGTTTTTGTAGAGATATGGTCTCACTATGTTGCCTAAGTTGGTCTCGAACTCCTAGGTTCAAGCAGTCCTCCCCACGTCAGCCTCCCAAAGTGCTGGGATTACAGGCATGAGCCAACATGCTCAGCCCTTTGGTAATAACTTTTTTTTTTTTTTTGAGTAGGAGTCTCACTCTGTCACCCAGGCTGGAGTGCAGTGGCATGCTCATGGCCACCGCAGCCTCAACCTGCTGAGCTCAGGTGATCTTTCTGCTAAACCTTCTAGGTAGCTGGAACCATAAGGGTGCGCCACCCCACGCCTGGCTAATTTTTTTGATTTATTGTAGAGACAAGGTCTCACCAAGTTGCCCAGGCTTGTCTCAAACCCCTGGATTCAGGCAATTCTCTTGTCTCTGCCTCCCAAAGTGCTGGGATTACAGGCGTGAGCCACCGCACCCAGCTGGTATTAACTTTTATTTAAAAACAATACTCTTCCAGCTAGGCAACACAGTTGAGACCTTGTTTCAAAAAGAAAAAAAAGAAAAGAAAAATAGGTATGGTGGTGTGTGCCTGTACTCCCAGGTACTTAGGAGGCTGAGGTGGAAGGATTGCCTGAGCGCAGGAGGTCAAGGCTACCATGAGCCATGATTGTGCCATTGCCACTCCATCTTGGATGACAGACTGAGACCCGCCTCAAATAATAATAATAATAGCCGGGCTCGGTGGCTCAGCCTGTAATCCCGCGCTTTGGGAGGCTGAGGTGAGTGGATTGCCTGAGCCTGCGGGTTTGAGACCCACCTGGGCAACTTGGCGAGACCTCATCTCTACAATAAATCAAAAATTAGTCGGGCGTGGTAGTGCGTGCCTGTAGTTCCAGCTACTCGGAAGGCTGAGGAGGAAGGATTGCCGGAGCCCGGCAGGTCGAGGCCACGATGGCTGGGAGCGTGCCACTGCATTCCAGTCTGGGCGACAGAGTGAGACTCCAACTCAAAAAAAAAAAAAAAAAAGAGCTACCCAGTTTCAAACAATGCCTTCCAGAAGAATCTCTGACCGTTTACTGTTCCATCCAGGGTGGGTTCCTATCTCCTCTTTAGCAGACCTTTGACGGGTGACAGGAGCCCTTGCTTTTTGAGAGGTGATGACTCCCTCTGCTTCTGACTGCCAGGCTGCAAAGTCCACCCCAGGGGCCAGGACAGAGCGAGAGACAGATTTTAAGCTGAAGCTGTTCACTGCTTCCTTCCCGGGCGTTGTGGCTGCATCCCGGCATCATGACAAGACCTCCTGGCTCTGTTCTCTGTGAGAGTGTGCCACGTGTGAATTCCTTGGGACAAATGCGCAGACACCAAGTCTAGCAGGGCTGCGATCTACACTGCACTGCCTCGGTCTACCCTGTACCGTTCCACAGTTTGGAGCCCTGTTCTAAAATGAGGAAACCACACTGGGCGCGGGAGCTCATGCCTGTAATCTTTGGGAGGCCAAGGAGGGAGAATCCCTTGAGCCTAGAAGTTCAAGACCAGCCTGGGCAACATAGGGAGACCTCGTCTCTACAAAAAATACAGAAATCAGCTGAGCGTCGTGGCACATGCCTGTAATCCCAGTCACTCAGGGGGCTGAGACGGGAGGATTGCCTGAACTCGGGGCTGAGGCTATAGCGAGCCGGGTTGGTGTCACTGCACCCCAGCCTAGGTGGCAAAGTGAGACCCTGGCTCAAGTGATCACTCAGTAAACCGAGGAAGTCAGATTCAAGAGTTTACGTGGTTTCCCCAAGGTCACTGTGACGGGCAGAACAGGCAGGAGTCTGGCCCAGGTGGTCTCAGTCCAGGCGCTCGGCTCTTCCCATCACAGCCTGCTGCCTCCCTGGCATGGGGGAGCAAGCTGAGGGGAGCAGCCGCCCATGGAAGGGGGACGGACTGGCAGACACGTGCGTCCCACAGCCTGCAGGACCCAGCGAGGCCCATGCTCCCGGCACCTCTGTGCCCTCTGCAGAAGCGGGTGGGTGGCACAGAAGGGAGAGGCTGAGAAAAGTCTGGGGCTCTGTGGCTTCTCTGGCCGGCGAGCAGGCACCGAATCAAGGTCCACCCCTCCTCAACCCTGAACTGGAGCGTCCGTGAGCCTTGAGGCTGAAGCAGAGTCTCCCGTCGGAGGCCCAAGGAGCTTCTCACTTTGCTTCAGAACTTAGGCTTCAGTCCAAGCCTAGGCCCAGCCCAGCTGAAATAGACTGAGTGTTCCTGTTCAACGCTGGCACCCACAAGGCATTCATTGTCCCCCAGGGGAGGGTCATGTCACCTCAGCACTGAGCTATGAATGGGGTCTCCACTGGGCCCGCGATCACCGTCACAAAGCAGGTTTGCCACAGGGCCACCTCCACACTCTCGCCACGATCGGCATTGGAACCCGTGCCTTCTGACGTTCGTCCTGCTATGATGACAGCGGGCTTTCCCTTTGTCCTCTCAGATTTGTCTCCCATCCATCACGGGCATCGTCACGCCCATGTGTCAGATGGGGAGACTGAGGTTTGGAGAGATCATCCCACACCAAGTCCGTGGCAGGGCTGTGATGGGAAGCCGGAGTCCACGGTCTACACCCTACCACCTGGGTCGAAGCCACGCCATTCCCAACGCTAGCGCCGCCCATGCCCTTGTGGACACAGTGTGGCCCGGCGACTCGGAAGGGCGTCACAGGAGTCAGTGGTGGGGTGGAACGGAGCAGGGACCGTGCGGCCAGGCCAGGGTGCAGGGCTCAGGCGAGCATTCGCCGAGTGACCTTGGGCAGGGGCTGGGTCGCTCTGAGCCCCAGATTCCCACCTGTGAGACGGTGAGTCCTGCCTCGGGATTGCAGGGTGTCAGGGATGGGGACGCGGGAAGGGGCAGGAAGACCCTGCCATTCTCTTCTCCCGTCACAGAGGGCGCCTGGGCTCTGCTGCGTATCAAGTGTCCTAAATATGCCTGGGCCCTGACCTCAGGGAGAGGGAGACCCCAGGGGATGAGGGAGACCCTGGGGGGAGGGGGAGACCCGTGGAGGAGGGGGAGATGAGTCAGAGGAGCCAGAACAGGGAGGACTCATTCTGCCGAGAGAGGCTCTGGCCAGCAGAGCGCGCCAAGGCTTCGGGGGAACCGAGGCCGCTGGCGGGGTTGCCACGTGATCCCAACCGTGTGCCTCACATCTGCACCAGGTGACAAGGACTTTCACACTCATTCTCTGGTCCAACCTCCACAATCACGCTGGAAGCTGACAACGCACTTTAGCAGTTTTCCGCTGGGGAAACTGAGGCAAGCGCGATTCAGCCCAAACTTACAGGTCGGCAGGGAGCTCCAGACCAGCATCCACCCGTTCCTCTCCTGTCATAAAACGACTCACAGAGTGCCAGCGGCTTGACAGCGCCCGTGTGCCCACCCTCGGTCTCTGGCTGAAGAGGAGGCCACTCCTATGTCCCCGCCTCCACAGTGGACGGCCCCGCTTACCTCGGAAGGGGAGGGTGCCCAGTTTGTGCAGATTCTCCTCTAGTTTCCCATAGTCCACCTCTGCGGTGGCGGTGAACGGGGTGGTCACGGGGGGGTAGATGCCCGCGATGTCCACCTTCCTCCCCTGCCCCGAGGCCCAGCCCCTCGCGTTCCTGGACAAGCCCCTGCTCAGCCCCTGCCTCGCAGAGGACCAGACTTGCGGCCCCAGCATCTCTGCAGAAGGCCCAAGGTGCAGTCACTCTGTGCCCTGGAGCGAGACTCACTTTGGACCCCCTCCAACCCCGTTAATGATCAACGTGTCTAGTTAAAAATTTGCGCCTCCCCAACTGGCGGCCACCGGAGCAGGCCTGCGTTGGGCATCCCCGGGGTCAGGGGCAAGGCCTGTAGGCCGCGGGGGGGGAGCCTTCTTCCCCTGGGGGGCAGTTGGAGAAAGGCCACAACATGGTGTCCCTCGGGCCAGGCATAGGACCGGTCCCTGGGGACCCGACACTGAGGGATCCTCTCTGTGCGACCCGGGCCCTCCTCCCACGGTTCCCAGCCCCAAAGCGCAAAGGCCGGCCAGGTTTCCGCGGGCAGTTCCCAGGCCGGCCAGGCTGATTGGCTGAGTGGGGCCGGCCCAGTGGGAGGTGAGGCCTGGCTGTGGGGAAGCTGGCTCCGGGCCCCTCCCTCTGCTGCCCTGCTCCCCCGCCAGGCTCCTCCTGCCTGGTGGCCACGTGACAAGACTGCGCTGGCTCCAGACAGCCCCACAGGACGGCCGTCACCAGGAAGAGGGTCGAGGAGGATTGTACGGCTGGGTGGACCCGTGCAGGGGGTTGGCGGGAGTCCTTGGGAAGGGGCAGGAAAAGGTGGGGGCGGAGATCGAGGAGGGAAAGCAGCGAGCGGGTTCAGAGGGCCCAAGGGCTCCAAGCTCCCTTCTCCAAGCCCATCATCTTCTTTCCACTGAAATATTTCAGACACAAGCGGAAACAAACTTCGCGAGTTGCAAAAACAACTTTTTTATTGTGATAGTTGGTGGGGGCTTCTGGATCCTGCAGAGGAGAGGCTGGGTCCTCCCCCGGCTCTGGGGGCCATCCTTAGGACCCTCGGGCTGCGCACAGGGCAGGACCCGGGTGCCTGGCTGAGCCCAGGCAGGCGTTCACGGGGCCGGCACGGGCTAGGGGGTCTCCCGTCCGCTCCCAGGGGGCCCTTCCGGTCCGTTCTGCTCCGCCTCCGGCTCTGGGTGCTCCAGGGCCTGCCGGGTGTCAGCCTGCCACAACTGCACCAGGTCCGTGGGGGTCTTTCCTGCCTGGGAGAGCCAAGAGGAGACCGGCTCACTGATCGGAGAGCCACAACAGCGGTTCTCAGCTGGGGCAACTGGCAGTGTGGGAGGATACGTTGGGCGTGACAACCGTGTTGGCACTACTGGGGTCTAGCGGGTAGAGGCTAAGAAAGCTGCTTAAACATCCTATAATGCACCAGACAGCACCCCCAACAAGGAACTGCTCAGCCCCAAAGGTCAGTAATGTTGAAAAACCCTCACCCACCCCCTCTGTGTATCTCCCTGCCTTCCTGTCATCCCCAACACGAGCCAGAGGAACTCTCCCATGCCCCGTGACTGCTCTGCACCCCGAAGAGGAGCTTGGAGCAGGGGACAGGATCCTAAGAAGATTTGAGGACCCCCGGGACCGACACGGTGTGCTGGGAGTGGCCGCACCGACCAGTGCTTGGGGGCCCTCCACGGTTTTGGTCCCCTCGGGCCTGCACGTGGGGACCCCCTCCAGCCTCTGGGGGTCTCCTGCAGCCCCTCCTGCTGTTTCTCGGCACTTGCACGGACAGCATGAGAGTGGGAAGGTAGGTAGGTGGCAGAACTTCCCGGAAGAGGACAACTTTATGTACCACGGTGACGGCCAGAGCCACTGCTACGGTCCCTAGGCTGGGGCTGCCGCCGATGCAGGGGCCCGGGCAGACACGCACTCACCAGGTCCCGAAGCTGGGAAGGAACGTACTCACCAGGTTCTTGGCCATCATATCGGCTCCATGCAGGAGCAGAAGCTTGATGATCTTGTAGCGGTTAAGCCTCACGGCGTCGTGTAGGGCACTGTCCCCTTCCTAGAGCCAGTGTGGCACTCAGTGTGGCCCTCGTGGGCAGCACGTGGGGACAGGGTGACGGGAGGCGGGCTAGAGACCCTGCTCCAAAGCCGCGGCCCCGAGGGCCTCAGGGGAAAGGACCCCGCCGTGGGGGCCCGCAGGCTGCCGGCACTCACCCTGTCTCTGGCATTGATGTCCAGCCCCAGGGATAAAAAGTGTTCCACAATCTGCAGGCGCCCCGTCCGGACCGCCACGTGCAGGGGCGTGCTCAGCAGCTGGGTGGGAAGGAAGCAGGAACTGCTGGTTGATGGGGCCCGTCCCTGGCATCCCTAGGGTGGTGGGGGGCCGTCCTAACTCCAGCTTAATCTCTCTCTCAAGTCCTAGTGCCAAGGCCTGAGCCCTGAAGGGGCAGGAGGGGTATAATTTCCCACCATCCTGCCCAATGGTCTAACTCTAAAGCCTTAACTGCCACCTCCTTCAGGAAGCCTTCTGTGATTCTCCTCTCACTCAGTTGTGAGCAACTGTTCACTCTTCCATCCTTCTTTTTTGCGGGGTTGGAGTCTCACTCTGTCACCCAGACGGGAGTGCAATGGCCGCTCCTGACCACCGCAGCCTTGAATTGCTGGGCTCCGGCGATCCTCCCGCCTCAGCCTTCCAAGTATCTGGAACTACAGGCGCGCTACCACGCCCCGCTAATTTTTGATTTATTGTAGAGATGAGGTCTCGCCAAGTTGCCCAGGCGGGTCTTGAACCCGCGGGCTCAGGCAATTCACTCACCTCAGCCTTCCAAAGGCACAGGATTACAGGCTGAGCCACCGAGCCCAGCTTATCCTTCTTTTAGTAAGTGTAACAGATGTCATTTATTGAGAAATGACTACATGAAGGGTATGGCAAAAACCTACAAAACATTAGCCTTATATCCAATAAATACTGTTTACATACATTTTTTTCCCTTATCTACACAGAAACCCTGGAAGACACTTTACAGATGAGGAACAGAAGCTCATATGCTAAGTCACGTGCAGGCTTATACACAAAGAAATGAATAAATAGAAGGATGGTGCATGAATAAATAAAGGAGCTGGGAGTGGTGGCTCAGGCCTGTAATCCCAGCACTTTGGGAAACTGAGGTAGGATTGCTTGAGGCCAGGAGTTTGAGAACAGCCTGGGCAACATAGCAATGCCCCATCTCTACAAAAATTTTTTAGAAATTGACTGGGCATGGTGATGTGCACCTGTAGTCCTAGTTACTTGTGAGGCTGAGGTGGGAGGATTGCCTGAGCCCAGGAGGTCAAGGCTGCGGTGAGCTATGATTGCACTACTGTACTCCAGCCTGGGCGCCAGAGCAAGACCCTGTCTGCAAATACATACATAAATAAATGGATGAATAAATCGCTGGATGGATGACAGACAGATCGAAGGATGGTGAAGGGTACATGGATGAACACATCTGGCATCTTCTGAGTTGTCCCCAAGCCCTCGAGATGATAAGCTTCCTGTCCTGCCCTGTCCTTTGCTCTTTCTGCTCCCACCCCCAGATGGGGGTCCCTCAAGGGCCTGCGTCAACGGCGGGGACCCATTTCCAGGCTGGGAGGCTGCAGGACACAGCTTTAGCATCTCAGCTCGGCAGTCACTAAAGGAACCGGACCTTCCTGCCTGTGGGCTCTTCCGCCCTCCGTCCCACCCCCTCCCACGGCCACCCCCGTCTGCTGTGCCCGAGCGGTGTGGCTCACCTTATCCCGCACGTTGCTGTCTGCTCCTCGGCTCTGCAGAAGCTTCACCACCTCCATGTGGCCCCCGCGGCAGGCCCAGTGCAGAGCCGTGCAGTCCAGCTGGAAGGGAGCAGCGAGCCCAACCACAGAGCTGCAGGGAAGGTGCCCAGGGGAAGGACCCAGCCCAGGGGGCAGGGGGATGTCCGGGTGCGGGGGGAATGGATAGACGCACTCCTGTGGCTGGCAGGGGGCCAGGTAGACAGAAGGACACGCAGGGTCCCGCGAGTCCAAGCCAGATTTACAGCAGTGGTTCAGGGAAGACGGGTCTTACCCAGGTCATGCAACCCGCTAGAGGGAATCTGCCCGAGTGGCTGTGTTCCACGTTGGTACAGGTTGGCTGGGAGTGGGGGTCTACTGGTGCTAGACTCGCCTCCTGCCTCCCACCCAACACCTGCCTCTGGCTCACCCGATCCTGGAAGTCCACGGTGGCCCCACTTTCCAGAAGCTTCTCTAGGAGTTCCACGTGGCCCTCCAGGGAGGCCCGGTGCAGTGCTGTCCGGCGGAACTGTCCCCAGAGAGGCTGTCAGGGCCTGCCTGGCCCCAGGCCTGAGCCCACCTCCCACAAGCTGAGGCCTTGCCCTGCTCCCATCGGACCCCCATGCTGGCTCCCCACGTCTTCCGGGTTCTGCCAGCTCCTTATGTTCTGTCCAGACCAGCCCTGGAGCCTGGGGACCCTGACCTCACTGCCTCATGCACGAGAAGCCACGCCTTTGCCAGGCTGTGCCCTTTGCTGGGCATGCCTGTTTTGCCCTCACTCCCAGGGCTTGATGAAATCTGCTCCCCCAGGCTGGGCTTGGTGGCTCGGCCTGTAATCCTAGCACTTTGGGAGGCCGAGGCGAGTGGATTGTCTGAGCCTGTGGGTTCGAGAGCAGCCTGGGCAACTTGGCAAGACTTCGTCTCTACAATAAATCAAAAATTAGCCGGGTTTGGTAGCAGGTGCCTGTAGTTCCAGCTACTTGGAAGGCTAAGGCGGAAGGACTGCCGGAGCCCGGCAGGTCGACGCTGGGCTGGCCGTGAGCGTGCCACTGCACTCCAGCCTGGGCAACAGAGTGAGGATCCAAATCAAAAAACAAAGAAAGCAAGCAAGCTGTTTCCCCTTCAAGGCACAATGCAAACGCCATCATCTCTGGAAGTCTCCAGGCCAGAGCTGCCTGAGGGTCCCAGGCAGCCCCTGACTGTGAGAGGGCCTCAGAGGACAGGCGGGGTCTTGTTGGACTCTGCTTACCCCGAGTGCGTCTCGAGGTCATGCTGATCTCAGAGTCAGGGAAGGAGCATGGCCTCTTTCTGCTCTGGGCTTGTGACACCTTGGGTTGCGGTATGTGTCCGTACTCCAACCAGCTGGTGACACGTCAGTCTCCCTAGATTCTCAACCTGGTTCTTTCCTGTTCTGAACTCCAGCACCCGGTGCAGAGCTCGGGAGGAGACGGAGAAGGGTAAGACCCTGGAGGCTGAGGAAGAGAGGGGCCACGTGGTGAGAGTCCACGACGCCGCAGACCTGGGGGGATCGTCTTAACGGGCTTGTGCTGAATCCTAGGATGTGAGGCAGCAGCTCCCGTGAAGTGTGAAAGAGGAGATTTTGGGAAAAACAAAGAGTGTGCTGGGTGATGGAAAAATTCTGAAAATAGTGGCAATGGTTGCACATTATTGTGGATGTAATTAATGTCACTGAAATGGATACTTAAAATGGCAAAAATGGCATATTTTGTGACATTTTACCATAATAAAAAAAATTTTTAAAGGAAGTTCAATATTATTACATGAGAAATATCATAGCTTAGCATGTGCTTTACGCTTTCTTCATTCAGCTTTCTGCAAATACTCTTTTTTTTTTTTTTTTTTTTTTTTTTTGCGTTGGAGTCTCACTCTGTCGCCCAGGCTGTAGTGCAGTGGCACGCTCACGGCCACCGCAGCCTCGACCTGCCGGGCTCAGGCGATCCTTCCGCCTCAGCATTTCAAGTAGCTGCAACTACAGGCATGCGCCACCATGCCCAGCTAGTTTTTTGATTTATGTAGAGACGATGCTTCGCCAAGTTGCCTGGACTGGTCTTGAACGCATGAGCTCAGGCAATCCTCTCACCTCGGCCTCCCAAAGTGCTACGATTATGGGCACGAGCCACCGCGCCTGGCCCTCATTTTGTTATAATGTCTAATTTAGTCTCTTTTTTTTTGGAGAGAAGACTTTCCCTTATGTTGTCCAGGCTAGTCTCAAACTCCTGGCCTCAAGCCATCCTCCTGCCTCAACCTCCCAAAGTGCTGCGGGGTCCATCCTCTCATTCAGCAGATGCTCATTGAGACGCTACTGTCTGGTCATCTAACACGCTGTGAGGGAAGTAGGCCATTGTACAGAGGAGGAAACTGAGGC